TTTTTCATTTTCTTATTTTTCTATATATATATATATATATATTTACGTGGGGACCCAAAAATGGGTTACAACAACTACGAAGTGCTATTAAAAACTATACCAATCATTGTTGTTCTCTATACTTAATTTATGCACCACATGCCTTTAATTCTGCTGATTCTATAAGAGCTAATTGATCCCAAAGATTTGTTATAACAGAATAAAACTCTTGAATACTCATATTCTTCTGATGAAGAGCTCATATGTCATTCTCTAATTGATACTGTTTTGCAACATTTGATTGTGTGAATAACATTTATAGATGATCTCAAACCTCCTTTGCTTTCTCATATTTCACCGACTACATACCTCTTAAATGTTTAACAGAATTGTTGATCTAAGTAATGATTTTTGTATTGTTTGCTTCTCATGTATCTATCAAAACATCACCCCCTCTTTAGTATTCTTAAGTATCATATAAGTTCCACTAACATACTCCCACATCTTCTTACCTTTAAGAAAATTTCTCATTACATAACTCTAATATGAATAGTTCTTTCCATCCAACCTCACACTTACAAACTAAAGAGAATCATCTCTTTCGGTAGCTATAATTAATAAATAAGGAGAACTAGAACGCAAAAACAAAAAAAAATAAAGTACTAGATTGCAGAAACTGAACAGATATCATAGATACTCAACAAATATCTTCTCGAAATTAAACGATTACTCCAAATTATAACACAAATTGCAAAAATTGAATACAAATACCAAATTGCAGAAGACGAAATACCAAAACAATTGTAGAGACAAAACAAGAATATCAAATTGCAGAAGTTGAAGGAAAGATAAAATACCGGATTTTGCAAAAGCGGAAGACAAAATATTACTCCAAAAAAAATTTATATATAGGTTAAACTGAAAATATTATTATACCCTTAATAGATAAAACTAAATAAATATTATTTAACCGTCCATAGTTGATTGTTTCTTGATCCACACTGCATATACATTAAAAAATCTCCATGTGTTTTAATACATAGCAAAACAACTATACAAGTCCACGGTTAATTGTATCTTGGTATACATTACATGCATGTATAGTAAGTTTTTTTTTATATATATATATATATACTTTCATTATTTTCTTAAGTTGGAAAAGCCACGTAATTAACTTTGTTTATACATCTTTTTTCAACTATGGTTAGAACAAGATCTAATTGATCCAGCAAGCTTCTGGAAGACTTGGAAACGTCTATATTTCATAATTCTTGAAATATAATATCTTTCAAAGGGCCTTTATACCTGTCAAAGAATGAATAAACAGTAATGCATTTGAATCCTATCCATCTTGTTCTTCTAAATAATTAAATTGAAATTTTTTAGCATAAGATAATTGTGGTATACATGAGTTCCAATCTTAAAAAATTTTTTCGTTAACTTTAACTAGCATCTTATTCTTTTGATTATTTAAGAGTATTGAGCAAATTTGAGAGGATAAAATTTGATCTCAATTATTGATCACTGCACCTATTGCAATCCAAACAATTTTTATTTTTAATTCAATTCTATTTGTCTTCGGATTTTTTTCTATGAAATTAATTGTTGAAGGAACAAATTAATTATAAAATAAACAAGGAATAGATAGAGATGTTGAAGATACATCAAATATATAACACCGCTACTACTAACAAAATGAAAGCTCTATACGTATTAGGGGTGAGCATTTTCAGTTCGGTTAAGTTTTTATCTAAAAAACTAACCAAAATTAAATTTTGAAAAATTTAAAAGTTCAAACTGGAACCCAACCGGAACCGGTTCAAACCGACCGGTTTCGATTCGGTTCGGTTCGGTTTTTTTACAAAAAAACCAGAAAACCTGTCTTATTTTCTTTTAGGCTTTTTTGGGCTTTCTAATGGGTTTTTTAATGGGCTTTCTTATGGGTTTGTAATTAATGTAAATATTATCTAATTTTGTTACAAAATTCTATAATATATTTAATTATTTTTATAACTAAACATTTATTTATATTAAATTATTAGTGCTAATATTGTGTTTAATATGTTGCAAGTCTTTATAATATTTGTGTTTTGAACTTCTCATGCATCAAAGTTTAAATAACACACACACCAAATTAAAATTAAAATTACAAAGCATTGCCTTCAAAAGGGCTTAAAAAGGGCTTAAAAAAACAAAAAATAGCATTGCCATAAAAAATAAAACACTTTATGCAAAAAATATAAATGAAGAAAAAATATAAATCTTCATTGTGCATATCATCCCAATCAAAAAGCACATCAAGATGACAAGAACATTGCACTTTGATTCTGTGGCCTGTGTATTTATAGTATTGAGTA